AATCGTCTGATTTTGAGCCGTCCGGTAGAACGAATAGCGTCGACGTAATGTATATAGCTCGATACGGCGACTTTATGTATATATACATAACATTTCTGTGCTATTGTGCACACAACTTGAAGGTAGCTAAGTACTGGTACTGATTTGATGGAGTTTTGAACAAAGCGTTTTATATGTAATAATTGAGTGTAATAAACTTAGTACTAGTTTTATTTGACATAATTCTAGGAAAGTATAACCAAGTGGCCATTTCGTTAGAGAAATTAGGTTTCATTTCAGATTGAAGCGTACGAACCCATGTGCTGTGCGATTGTAGACGCGGACTCGTTGATTCAAATTTTGTGTGCAAGGTGTGTGGTACTGACAACCGAGTCGTGGAAAAATTGTATCCTCTGTAAGAATGGGAGACAAATTGTTCAATAAACTGCACAACAAACACATGCGCGTACAAAGCATGTTGGGTTGCGGGGCAATGTGGGTCGACATCAACGGGTTAGACTTTCAGAAGCCTTGGAAAGTCCTGATAGGTCTCAGAGTCATAAGCATTCTTAAAACCCTACGATGCGCAACTGTCGAACACAAAGACAGAATGCGAAGTATCGAAGATACTGAGAAGAAAACTACTAGAATTATCTTGCACCGAGGATGAAGCTTACTGTGAGGTCTGAGATTATGAGAGTGTAGAACGTTGTGTCGTCATTTCTACAGATTCGAAGTAAGTTCCTCATCCTAAATATGGTTTGGCGTGCGCATCAGCAAGAGTCGTGGATTGACTTGAAGTCATAATTACCCATTTCTCCCATAGTGAAGTCTGATAAGACATAAACCTTCCTCTGCAAGAAGACAGAAGCGCTTCTGATATGGGTACGAAGCTGCGAAAGCTTTGGTTTACGACACGCGATTGCCTGTACAATTGTACAACATTCATATTTCACTTGGTTTTGAAAATCAGTAACGATAAGTATCGGGCATCGGTATTTACACAGAGTATGGAATCCCAAAAAAGAGAATTCCAGAGATCTCATAAGCTGGTGGTCGCATACATAAAAGAATGATGTTTCTTGATGAGAAACAGTATAGCGCATAGATTCTGAGAGAATGTATTGTATGTATGTGTAACCTTAAAATAGCAGAGCAATGTCGCAGTGTTAGTAACTTTAGAGACTTTTGAATCTGTTTCTGGTGGGAGCGCACTAATCCTCTATGTATTTGTAAACGCTGACTCTAAGGGTCTCTGTAAGGCGCAATGTAATCCGGGTGCACTTATTAGCACTTACTGAATAATCTCCGATGGTGGAACATAAATTGCCCCAATGGTTGTCCCCATTACAAATAGACAAGCTCAAAAAGCTTCGGTCTGCCTTGGGTCCTGATGATAGACAGCGAATTGGTGGTCAAAAGCTGGAAGCGGTAAATGCGCACTTGGAGGCGCACGCCTCTTATAAAAAAGCGTAGACCACGACAAGTGCGCTCCAAATAGATGAGGGAAGCTGCGATGGTCATGGATTGGCATTGCACCAAACGGAGCCTAAGCGCGTCGCGCTTGCGATTTTCTAGCTAGAAGGTCGCGCGCGGGAATGGGCACTCATGCACAGTTCCTTGATGAAAGTGGTGCTCTCAACGAGAAACAATTTAAACCGACATATGCTTAGATTTCTTACACCACCAAATTAGGCAATATCGAGTGCGTGCAAAGCTCTTGTCACCTGTCAAGGGAGGCAAGGACAGTAATAATATGTTTCGAAGTTAAGCTTTAATTGCCGCAATGGCGTCTAATCCTCATTTGGAGGCAGGTATATTTACCATCTTCATTGAGGGTCTTCAAACGGGCGATGCTAGCACAAAGTCCTTATGAGTCCACCTTTTATAATTGATTCGTGCCATATTCAATACGGAGCACTTTATCATGCCTCGAGGGTAAGATTAAGCTGATAATGTAAGCTCTTCGAGCACGCCAGAGACGATGGACCTTAGCCCTGCTGTGGAAGTAGTCGGAAATTTCTCAGATACTAGACTTCACCCCGAAATCCGCAATATATGCGATTCGAAGGCATATTTACTTTGCATTCATCTTTGCTCTCGGCCGAGAGGTACAAACGATTGGGCTCCCACACAAAGGCGGTTCACGAACCCCTCACAAAGAGTACCCTGCACCCTTTAGAAAGAACCAGATTCTACTGGGCGTTGTGAAAGTAGTTGTCAATGTGACATAATACTTAAACGAGCAACTTTCTCCTAGAGGTGAGGTCTTGCAGCCTGGGATTGTTGTTGCTTAAGTCAACGCTTGGGCTTTGTAAAGCCGTTGAAAATTTCGCTAAGGTCAAGAGCGTTGAACAAATACGTAAAAACGCGCGACTATCAATAGTATATCATTACGTGGAATGCCACATACGGATGCGATATCTGTGCGTCTTTCAAGGGGGACACTGGTAATAGTGTTCGCGGCTTAACAGAACCCTTGAGTGAGTTTGTAAGACTTTGACAGCGTGAAAACGTTGTCTTATCCTTGGTCAAGATCAAAATATAGTCTTGTTCTCAGAATGACGTGGCTGGAATACCACGATCAATGTCCATACTGGAAGCCAGAATCGCTTTTTGCCGTAGACAGCTTTCGTACAGGACATAGTATTCTCCGAAACTGGTAGCAATGCTCGATCAGTGCCCGGGAAGCAGAAGCGGCAATACGCCTCGATCTCTTGATGAGACATTGCAGGGCGATGTATAACGCGGTCGTCAGACTATGTCACTGTTGAGACGAGAAACGCTAACTGTATGTCGTGGAACCCAGAGCGTAACTTTCGCGGAATGCCAGAAAACGCTCCGGGCCATTGTCGTCTATGTCAGGGCTGGCTGAAAGCAGAAGCGACAGGGGGTCGCGATTGCCCGTGCGAGAGCTGGTGGGGTTGAAGAAAGACTGTAACTACAAATACTATGGCTGAGCATCAAATTTTCTCGTCATGATGCGACGGTCTCGCCGTATAGACCATTGAGGCTCCACGTATAAGTGAAAAGAGCATTCGCTCGTGAATGAAGCAAACGGAGTATTCGTAAGGGTCGTAAGTTTTGCCTCACTCCCTCAAGCAAAACATCACTTTCAGCTAAAGGAGCTGCTTCTACGGTAAGTTTGCATAACATTGCACGACCGAGAAGTCTCCGGTGGTACCAGAAGACGGGCCGTGCTCATCATCAGTTTTGGGATGGTCTGTCACTGAGGAACTTCGCAGAGCACTGAGTGAGAGGAGTGAGACAGCTATTTTCAGCAAACCTCCTAATTTTTCTATACTTAGTTGAAGAAATATTACGGCGCGTTGACAAAAGATCTACCATGCATGTTGCTGCCGAATAGGGAAGCAGGCCATGAACTTGACTAATTTCTCGGTACCAAATATTGCGTCACACGGCAATGGCCCTTACCCATGAAAGCATATTTATGTCACTAACACTTTCTTTGTGCAAAAACGAAGCGAGTGTGACGATAGGAAACAGAATCCTACACTTAGCGCCGACTTTCTTGTCAGAAAGGCTATAACGGGAAGTGGTGTGTGTACGGTGCATATTTATAGACAGTCAATAGGTACTTCGATTCCGTCACAAAAACCGATCCGGAAAGGATGCGCTGTAGGACAGCATAGTCAGCTGCACTTAATAAAGTGCCTTCGACCAACTTATATGAACATTTGAGCTGCGGATGTGAAACGACTTCTCACTTAATGCGACTAGAACTCCGAGCGAAATGCACTGAGAATGACGAGATATACCACTTAGTACCTAATTAATCAGCGGTACATCTTGGCTATGAATAAATCGATGTTGACGAAATATATACGCCCATTGTCCTGCAGATCATTGGGAATAAGTTTTAGAGGATCACATTACGTACTTGCTAACAGTGCTCGAGTGTATGCGTTAAATGATCATTTGCCAATACAGACAGGTATGACTTTGAGGCCAACAAAACAGCCATATCGTATGTTTTTTGAGAGGCGATATCTGCAATCTGATCCTGCAAAGTTAAAAAAAAATTCGAGCGAATTGTGTCATTATACTGAACGGACTTGGACAGGTGCCATGGCCTGACCAGCCACTCACGCAAGTAGAGTCCAAACTATGCCTATATGGCACAAACCCTCTCCAATCTTCTTGTAATAGATTTTAGATGGTATTGGGATGCGTCAAAGAGGTGGTCCATTAGGCTGTAAAGAAAAGCCTCGTGTGTCCCCCGATTACGGTATTGTCTAGTTTTGATCGGCCATTTTAGTCGTCTGGGTCACTCCAGCCCTTTAAATATGATATTTTTTTGTTTTATAAAGACGTCAATGCGAATGGCGGATGATCGCATTCGAATTCACCTATTGAAGCTGCTGTGATGCATTTTTCTGTCCATAATAAGGACGTCCGTCCAATGAGGTATGCCCTCGTCATGTTAAAATCACCTATGTGGCGCTGAGGCGTTTAGAATTGAAATCAATCATATATCGTTGCGGTCGGCGATGTCATCATCACATTTTCACAGAGAATAGCAAGAGATCCAACCTTCTTTGCCGATTACACCTTTGAGGTAGGGTATAAGGTGGATCAACTCAATGTTGTGTCGAGTACGGTTCGCTTCGCCCTATTTTTGATTATCGCACGTCTCATTGGTATTATTGTCAATTGATGAGACGTTTCGCTCAGTGTGCGGATTGGATGCAACATGTGTTGCGCTGCAAAGAGCTTTGGAATGCCACTTTACTGCTGCGAACGGTTGCATGTTCCACCGCTACGCCTTATCCTAAGGCTTGCGACTGTACAGCACTTACCCATACAACGTGTAGTAGCGCCGCATGATGATAATCTCTAGTACATAGTACGGTATAAGGCATGTTGTATTGTTAACTTCGGGAGAGGGAAGACATACCAATCGATGAAGACTATGTATTTGTAATCGAACGTGTGAAAGTGGGTAAGCAAATGTGTGTACACGTGTAGAAAGTGCCTGCGGGGAAGCCGCTAGCTGATTGTGGGACATCTGTGGATAGAATGCTGGTTTCGGCAGATTTCTGGTAGCTCATGAGTATAGACAAAGACGTGTCCAGGTATATAGGAAGTGCGTTCTTTGAGGATTGTCTGAGTTGGATGGCTTCTCTCGCTGCTGTCAGCAATACTAATGTGCCGATGCAATCAGGCTATTCCTCGTTAAGCATTTTGCCAATGTGGTTCGCTAGTAGCCATTGTATCATATGGAAACTCGCGTTTTACTGCAACTTTCCAGCGAACAAAGTGTCATGGTGCTTAGCACCAGATGTGCTATGCCAATCGCTAATCATGCGCAAACAGATGATTAGGCGAATCACTGGAATTGCGTTGTGGAAGATATCGTTCGGACCAAATGAGTGGAGAGGCCACAAGGCTGGATTGAATTACTCGCACCCTCAGGATTTGCGTTTTCATGAAAAAGTTGGGTTGGCTCCTGGGTGCTTTGACAGGGCAACAAGGTGCCTCCAGTCTTACAGGGGGGGGGCTGTCGATAAAAATTGACTTGATGATATCAGTTTGGCTACATTACGACGCAAAATCAGTGATTTAATTCGATGAGATCGAGCGCATGCCAGGGCGGCTGAGGCAGTGTACAGCGGTGCTGCCGTAGCTCTTTCGCGTAGAAGAAGCTACGCTATGGTCGGTGGCCTTCGTTCTAAACTTAGAACCAGTACGAGTGTAGCGGATCGCAATCCGCTTTACTCCAAAAGTAACCACAGCCTTAACCCAAGGCAAACAAACTCTTTTGTTCAAAGTATAAGTGTATTTCTTGATTTTATCTGCGGTTAAGCCGCCTGTATATAAAATACATAGGTTTTACAAATAGTAAAACCGAATCAAATTGCACAACTACTGACAGTCCAGCCACGTAGTAACTTCTTGTTAAGATGTAGACATGCTCTTGATTATACTTGGTAAACCTACGACATAAAAGATGTTGTAATCCAACAAATGAGGCGCCCAACGAGGCAGTCATAAGATCCAAAATGAAAAATGTCAACAGTCTCACACGATGAGTCTGTTGTGTTTAATATTGTCAAGGACATGAAGATGCGACAAGCAGGTGACGGAGTAGCCACGATTGACTACACCGTCATGTGTAACCCACGCCCTTGTATGACCACACCATCTTGTGGGATCCACACTTTCATACCAGGGTACGTGAAATCCGTTACACTATGGTGCAGATATAGATGGAATACCTATCAATATGTGTAGTCTTCGTTAACGCTGTAAACAGGAAGTGTCGACAGTCTGCAAAAATAAGTTGCGACTTCGCTACATCGGTCAGTTTACGTAGCGATTACAAATTGAGCTACGATATCCTATTACAAATGTGAGCGCCTCATTTATTCTACGTAATTTGCTAAATGCAAAACCACTATCTCGTTCTTACAAGGCAGTATAACGCGAGCACACTTTAAATGCGAAGCAACGCCCCAACTGCCTTTGGTATCTGATCTTCTTTCTGCTTTAAGGCAGTGACTCGGTTCTAAACAGCTAATGGCGCTCAAGGGCTTTCTGTATCATGGAGCATCTCGCAATGTGTATTTAAAATTATCTCATGTCAGTTTGAGGTGAGCGCCGAGGCCTTCGGAAGTAGCGGGAAATTACGCAACTTTAATTGCTTGCTTCGATTACCTTACGACATTGCGCACACTCTGTCTCTAACCCATCGAGAGAATAGGCAAGGATGACTAGCACAACGCCTTCCCCACGAGCAAGCTGGCACGGCTTTATATCAATTTCAAGACTTGACAAGTTTCTATAAGCAATGTTGTATCTGCAAGGTGTTACGATTTCACCTGAATGTCGCGTCTCAATGGCAAGCACTAGATGATGTTTGTGTCTGCCTTCTGTTTCACGGAAGCTGTATTACAACACTGCGCGTTGAGTGTGACGCTGCATAATCCTCACCTGTGCGTGAACTGATAGTGATATTATTCGGCCTTCTCCCCGTCATTCAGTACCTAAAAGTCCCTCGTGGATGGGTACGAAATTTGTAACCGCTGCTGCTCGTAGCGGAGGCAGCTTCGTAGACACCATTGTTGAACTATTTTGACGTTGAGTTAATTTGCAGCGGGATTGCCGTGCACCTTGCACAGACTAAGATCTGACTCGATGATCTCACGTTGAAAAAGCACAGAGGAGCGCCTTGTACGCTCCATCCAGAAGTCAAAACAAGAGCCTCTCTGATACTTAGCTACCTTGTTTGCTCTTCTCATTTCATGTTTAACATATACCGGATTAATTTCAAATGAACGAATATTAGATACAAATGTGATATCATCCAGTGATATGACTATCGTTATTGCGTGACGTGAGGCTCAAACCCACGTATACCGCGGGAATTGTATCTCTTCATCAGAACGACACCTTTGGTTCCTCTGAAATTAGTAATTACACAAAAATTTAATGTTTTTTATTTGTGCAACATTGTATTCTAACAAATGAGCACAAATATCCATATTATTCCCTCCCCAACATGGATATGAACGACACTGGGTTTCACACTTCTTTTCTGGGCGATGCTTTCAAGATGTCGCGCAAAATGAAAGCTTTTTGATCATTCCCTGCGCTTAAAAATTTACTCCACTCATGGTACCCTACTACTCAAAGAATACTCGGATTGGGAATTCTTTGCCGTTATTTAAGACAATGACTTTGTCCTGACCTGACATCTCCACCCTCACCTGGAGATTTATGACCAAGTTGCTTGCCGCGCTAGAGTGGAGCATTTTCACGCCTACGCTTTCTTTACACCGAGAGTAATTTGGGCGCCGGGAAGGCGCCACTCTAACGCTTTTTGACTCAACGTATTTGAGAGATTTGGCTATGAGACGAAAGCAAGGAGCTGAATTTGCGATCTCCATCGCTAGTTCTTGTCGAAACGAATTATGGCGGCTTAGAGCCGCGGTTGACAGAGCAAACGCCTACGCAGACAGGTGACAGCAAGTCGCGATTAGTAGGATATCATCAAAGTTGACTCATTCATGGGAGACAGCAATACGAGTGACATGTCAAACGTGTTAGAGTCTAAAGCTTCACGAATGTGTGTTTGTGTACATTCATGATGGGACAGATTGAGCAATACTAGTACAAAGGCCCTTGGAAATTGCCCTTTTTTCCGAGAGACAAATAGAAGGAGTTTGACAAATGTTACGATCGCATTGTCGAAATTGATAGTATCGGAACAGGACATCAAGTGTGTGACATCCTTTATCATCCAACGCATCACTATCAATTCGCTGTTGAAGTTGATCGCTAACTTGAGGAAGCGAGGCGAGATATACTTTTCTCTATTGAACACTAGTTCACGGTTCCTGAACGTATACTTAAAACGAGATGAATTCGAGACTGGTCATGCTGCCATTGATATTGCTAAGTCTGCAGCTAACCCTAGCTCAAAGCTATCTTTGTCCGTCTCAACAAAGTTTATAACTAAAGACCGTGGCATACGGTTGGTTGCTCCTGTCGCAGCATCATTTACTCTAGTGCCCAACTCAAATTATGTTTATGGCCAATTCATTCGAACCAAGTGAAAGAAATGTTACTTACTGTAAAAATGAGCGGCAATTCGTGATCTCGATACATGTCCGAAGATAAACGTAGATTTTAACCGAAAAATATGTAGCTCTTTCCGACAATAGTTTAAATTTAGTACCAGCTCTGGCACTAATGTCGACCATCTGATATTCATATGGGTTACTTTTGACTGAATATTCGCCTGACCTCACCTAAGCTTTTCGTCAATCCAAGTGGACTCAAAGCCTATTGTCGCGATGGACGAGAAGTCGGTAATAGGTGGACGCGCACCTCGTATGTCACTAATGTTACAGCCACAGCACCAGCATCAAGCTTCATGATCACAATGACGAATTCATCTGTGAAAATGTTGGTCTGTATAGAGTGTCTTCTTCGAAATCACCTGGTACTAGGTCGCAATACTTCGCCTCACTAGTGAGCTAAGATCACCGAATACATCAAGTACCTGAAGTATGGCGTAAGCATTGAATCATTTTCTAGCATCTAAGATGCCTTGAAACCTGGCTTCATAAGGTACAAGAATTGATGCTCTGTAGAATGACTTCTGGTAGTGCTGTAGCAGATGTTGCATGCCAGGATGTTAGAATCTCTCATCGAATATTTAAAGTAAAAACGGGTTTCTCTGATGATCAGTTGTCACTGCAGTTTTGAGCTACCGCGTGCTTTTCGCAATGGTAAACTGAATGAAGACAATAATCTGTTTGTCACACATGTAGGGAGGCTATCGGTGTCGATTAATAAAGCATTTATCATTCATTCCCTTTGTACAATACTGTTCAAAATCTGGTGCAGGATCGCACTCCAACGCTCAAGATCATAAAAATTGAAGATACTGATGCTATTCCAAATAACTTTTATCCTGGTCGTATTTGAAGTACAGTTCGTGGTGTCTGGTTCCCAGCTGAGCCTAGATAGCATCCTGTTTACTTTGTTAACACGTTGCCAATCAAATGTTCTGAAGTGTATTTATTGAACAAGCCCACGGTAGACCATTTCTACGATGTGAACTCTTAAAAGAATAAATAATATTTTTGAGGTGCTTTATGAATGTCATCACTTTATGCTTCAGCGATACATCGTAGGCGGCGGCATATTTGGTAACAGATAGTCTTCTGACGCAGCAACATCGTGAGAGGCATATGAGTCAGATGTAAACCTTTCAGATGGTTGAAGAAACGACAGAAGTGACCGCTGGTTGCCGAGTACTTGTTTGTCAAGTTGAGGTTGGCAGATCATACCAAACGCAGTAGATGAAGAAGCGAGCTGCATTCTAGGGCGTAGGGTAGACACTTGTGTTGTCTTTTCAGTCGGCACCTTGTCACCAATGAAAGAAGTGTGCGATAACGGGTTTACTAGAAAGTCAATTGAGAGCTTGGTACTGATAGGAGAGATGACTGAGTCGCCAAAAGAACTTGGTGGTGTCCTGATACCATGAGATGAATACACTTCAGCTGTCACGAGCTTGGAATGGAGCTTGCAGCGACCCTTGACTTGTGAAAACTTTTCGCAGTTTACGATAATACAGCGGCGGCCACCGCCGTGGGAAATGCAAAAGCCTTTTGACTGCGCCAACTTCTTGCACCCTTCGGACTGGCAAAGTCGACCACCACCATGGGCAATGCACAAACCGCGACTCTGCGCAAGCTTATTGCAATGCAAATCGCGGCAGCGAGAGCCACCGCCGTGAGCCTTACACAAACCTCGTGTCTGAGCAAACTTATCACAAGTAGTAAATCGGCATCGAGCACGATTAGCATTGCGACGAGAGTTGGGCATCGGCATTGTGATTAAACTGAAGCTTGATACTGAAAAATGTACACAAGTACACAGCTGATACCGCAGTAGAGTGTTGCGAGGTCAATGATTGTGGCTGACGGTAAGATGTCAAATGGGCCCCCCCAGCAAAATCAAAAGTTTCAAACGACGAGACCAGCACGTTCGACTGCTTTTTGCCCTATGATCGCACTGTCCGTAGCACGCGGTGCTTTAAGGTACAGGTGAGATAGTTGAAGGTCTGCACGACGACTTGACTATTGTGGTCGCAAGAGAGACAGAGATTTGTGAAGATTGTGTGCCGGATGGACCAGCATGGCTAAGTTCTCAGTACTCCAGCTGGCCTTGCTGATTCGTACTAAGTTAGCAAACCAGACATCAGTATTGATTTTAGTAAAGGGAGATGGTGTTGTGATTTCACGCGATCTTGTACGTTTACTCACTTGCAAGAGAATTACTTAAGACTGTAGAAAGAAAATCCGTAGTGATGGCACCAAGATCAACGTGCGTCGTTACAAAAAGGGCTGACTCGCAGAATTAGACAGAGCTCATTTTGAGATACGAAAACTAATTCGTATTCAAGAATATAGCCTTACTGTAATCTCACTAGCCGGAGCACATTCGTATTGAAGAACATAGGATATTCTTACTGATTCTAAACTTAATCTGAGCAGTAACATATTGTCCATAGAGTGTCCGTCATTAATGCACGATATATAGTTCTATACCGTTTGAGCTTACATGCTTTGGTAATGTGAATGTCCTTGTATTCTCTAACGTTATCTTCCTAGATTCATTTCATATGAGATTCTGGTATCTCACCAGCCACTTACAACATCCCTACATCCTGGTGTGAGTCAATTTTAATCAATGCTTTGAGTCTAGCTTCATTAGTATCATGATCAACGAAGCCGCAAGTTGAAACACAAGAATGTATCCACTCAGAAAAACATAGAAGGTTTTAATACTCTTTCTTCGTGAGAATAAAGGATTACGTCGCAACTTGGCCATCCAACTATTCGATTCTAGCCAGAATCAGCAACTTACTATTGCAAACAAATCTGCCTTTTTCCCTTGCTGTCATCTCACCAAGAACAAATAGAGGCGGAGTGCATTTTGGAGAAGTGACGAGGCTTCGCCGGCTCTGTCCAGCTCGCAATCAATGCGACGCATTGGACCAGACAATGATATTCTGTTCTGCTGCGGCACGAGATCGGATGGGGATTGGATAGGTAACCACAAAGCGCGACGAGGCACAATCAAAGTGCAAATCTCGAGCATGTTCGTGATTACTATCATCCAAATAAAGCAGAAATAGGCCTCTAACACCAATATTTCCATAATCTTTCGGCAAGAAAAACACGAAAATACATTTCAGTATCTTCGTGGAGGACGCATAGATGCTCATGTGTTCCAGCATTATTCTTCAAGTGGCTGTTTGAAAGCAAAGTAAGCAAATTCTAATTCATTCTATAGATAGGAATATCATAATCATGCAATGCAGCTTATGCTTACAGGCACGGACGTTGCTCTTCAAGCATTATGTTGTCATGTCGTGAAGGTGCTTCGCACTGCACATAAAGTGATTTTCAGCATACTTGCCCACTTGATATCAAGTTTATATCTATGTGCAGAACAACTCTACACAACTACGTAAATGTAACATCGACATTATGGAATTTGATGAGCACAGTTTGTGTATCCTTTCAACGTCTAGTTGTAAGTTGACTGAGAAGCAAAAACTTTGCATGCTTAAAATTGGATGTGCGTAGTTTGGTCTATGCTCGAAATGAGAACATCGATCAGACGATAAATGACGCACATGCCATTCGATGGGGCATGACGCAATTGATGATCGCGGCGGATATCCGCATGGATGGGTCAATTTTGTGGCCCAACGTTTTGTGGGTCGTGACAAGAATGTCGACAATTGGCTGACCACAAAGCTCGTGGACTGACACTCCTTGCGCTGTTGCATACATCAAGCTCTCAATGTAAGATACTTATGAGGTGATACATCATAGCTTCATTCGTATCATCATCAAATGCACTTTTTCACATCGTGAAACACGTAAACGAAAAATCTATTAAACGTCCAATTGCATCAATAAAAAAATTTAGCAACAGAAAAAGACTTCGTTGGTAAATCCAGCAAAGTGGAATAGCACACCACGTCATCCATTGTGTGAAAAAAGCTGCATCACAAAGAATGAGACTATATGAATGTCATCATTCCAGTCGGGACTCTAAGCAGGTGTCACAAAAGCAAGCACTTGTTTCACTAGTTGAATTTTCGTTCAGCAAATAGATCACTTGACACCTTCGCTAAAGGTGTTGAGCTCGAGTGCTTCGAATCTCTACGGAACAATCTGGGTAAAAATACAGCGGGCTTGCTGTGCACCTTGCATAGAGGAGGCACTGAATCAACGAGTCTGCATAAAACAACGACAGAGGATAGGCTCGTGCAGTCCGCCCAGGAGCGAATCGAAGCATGGCTTCGCTCAAGTCTGAACGGATTTTAATTATATCTGTTTTATTCAATTTAAAAAAAATAGCCTAGTTATTGCCCACCGTAAAGCTTGCAGTCCACAGACGTCTCATTTTCCTCATCAGCACTAATACTTGGTACGTCTGAGCTTTGCTGTGGGGGACAATGGTTTGATGTGTACGTACACCATTATGCGGTATGTACCCATTACACTCACCTAGGTGACAGCGAACCCTCAACAACACTCACACTCATCTTACACTTATAACCGGCAGTGCTTAACTGTGTTGGAGTCATCGTCTTTATAAAATCACATGGATCAATGCAAAACTAAAAAAGACGCGTATCTCGTGGAAGATGACATTGGAGCCAAGCTTCTCCAATTAGAGGTCAAAGCAACTATACGAGTACTTCGTTGTAACGGAATTACACGTATCCTGGTATACAGGGATGAGTCGCACGCCATGGTGTGACCACACCATGGCGTGGCTTCACCTTAACAAGAAGCCACCACGTGGCGGGACTGCCCGTACCTATACTTTTTGATTAGGTTTACTATTCCATAAGGAAAACCGAGAGATTTAGATACAGGTGGCTTTGCCGCGAATAAAACAGATAGATACAGTTTAACTTTGAACGGAAGAGTGTATTTGCCTTGGGTTAAGGTCTTAGGTACTCTTGGACGTAGCAGATTGCAAGCTGCAACACTCATACTGATTCTGGTATAGAACGTAAGGTCGGTGACCTTAGTAAGCTTCCTCTAAGCAAAGAGCTACGGTAGGCCCGCTGCATTTGTCCTCACTGGAAGAGATACGACATAGCCATATTCTGGGAATGAAGTGATCGCTATACTCTGCCTCTCCTCTACACGAAGTTGTGCACTCCGTGTCGCTCCCTACACTGGAAGTGCTACGACCTTCCTTGCTGGCAATGGACTGAACCTGGTTCAGCAAGCCCAGCTTGTCCGTCGGCAAGCATTGGAGTCATAACGACTCTGTAGACTGAAACACAATGTGCTGTTGATATCAATTGATCTAAATTTGCTCGTTATGTCATAGCGGAATCTTATCATGCCGATGAGCACTCCACATTTGCTCCGCAAGCGCTGTTTAACCTTACCGGCCGCCACTTCTCAGAAGTATCGCCGCACGTTGATACGGATGATGCCGAAGTCCGACGAGTGTCACACATAATTCACAACCAGCTCCAGTGAGGCAGACATCAAACTGGATTATCGTATCATGCTTGATTTTGCAAAATAAACAGCACGGCGTGAACATTGAGGTAAAAACTGATTACCGCAAGTTCTTGTTATAAACAGCCGCGCTTTTAATCCCGATTAGCTCGTGCAGCAACAAATTGATCTGAACTTTGGAGTAGGATCGTACCTCCTTTCGCTGATGTGACGCATATTACGGTGAGCGACTCGGTTTGGTTTCTCGATAGTATAAAGACAAAGGGCATTCCAGACGGACGCTACAACGGCGCTGAGGAAATTCTGCTAAAACGAGGTCTCAAAGACATGTGAAATTTGAAGTTTCGGTATTCCCTGATAATTGTTCCAGCCCTGAAGAGCCTACTAGTCCACTTACTGGTCCTCGTGGAACTGTGCCCCTCTTGCTCATTGAACAGTGCTGGTGGAACCAGCTGCTGTTTCAATCAGCTCACTTGATATTGACGACAAAACCACTCTTTCCGAGAGAATCCCAGTGTATAGTCAAAGCAGACATGAAACAATATATGACTGCGCTCTCTAAGCTAAGACATCGTACGGTGTGGCTCGAGGAAATCCAGCGGCTCTGAGCCGTAACGTTACAGGGAAGTCAGCAACAGGTGGATGTTTGCAGCTTTTCTTTGTCATAAAATATACGCTCTTTGCTTGAACGGATCGTAAGAGTGATATCACTGCATGGCTCTGACAATCCCACGTAGAACATAGGATATGCTCGCATTAGCGTTGGGGTAGCTCATATCTTTCTGGCTACGAGCGAATGCGGTGCGATGCTGCCACAACCTAGTTGCGCACCATAAGTGCTGAGTTGTCTACATCTAGAGGGATCTTGCCAAGGACAAAGCAAATTTTATGCTCCATCTCGCGCCTGTACGAGCCCGTCTTCTATGGTAAAGAGTGGCCCAAAAACTCCGCTGCAAGAAATCACGACAGTGGCAAGTTCGTAGAAAAGGAGCTGACCTCACTCAGCGCGCCAGGCAAGACGTCATCTGACGCACTAGTGACGTTTGATCGTTTAGTGACATGCCTACCTAGGCCGAATCGGGACTTATATACGTTTTAGTGCTGATGATATTATCCCATATAGCCGTTCTGAACATGGGAAGCCTGATGTGGACATCCACATTGAACACTGGCGAGGAGTGCTCGAGTATATGATTAAGCAAATAAATTGCCGGCTTAACATATGTGTCAATGGCAACCACTAAATTCTCTTTCTGGATTGCTCCACTGGAAAGGGCCCGAGGACAGCTCTTGCAGAGATAAAGACTATCAAAGTTTGGCCAGTCCACAGAGTCCAGGGGAATTGGCCTGTTCTACCGGCCACTTGCACCAGAGTAGAGCTTACATGGCCGACGTCGTATGACTCCTCTCCTTCATCCCCGTTAAAATATGTAATGGTGTTAAAGTATGGCAGAAGAGGCTGTCGAAGTAGTGCGAAAAAATACTTCATGTGTGCTCTATTTTTAGTTATTTGAATTTAGATCCGCTATCTCACGTCGTCTGTGATGCTCCAGTCTTTGCGGTAGACTGTACTTTATTTCAATCACATGCAGATGTGTATTGATGCGTCATCGTATTTATGAATCACCAGTTTGAAGCGGCTACATTTATTACATAGTTCAAGACAAAGAGGCTTTTTTACGATGCAGTATACGCTTATTCAGCTCAGGGTACCTACTTGTATCTAATCAATGTGACCTTTATAGTTTATGCACCATTGCGCTCAGCAACGTTCTTTGTACGTAGGCTTACCGAAGCCGTATTACGAACTCGCATTTACTAGTCCGTCGGATGCTAGCTCTCGCAGCTTCTGTAAAATCTTTCGTAGCTAAGCTCTAGAGCATCGATACGGTACTGAAGATATGAAGGTGTTCCACGCCACTGATAGCTCAGAGAACATATCAAACATGGACTCACGATAGTTTTGACCACACACTCTAACTCTCGAAGAATGTCGATGTGTCGCCAAAACGACTGATATTATGGTCGTGGTCCGACCTCAGGAGTGTTTAAGGTCTCGATTCGTCAAGATTACTCTGATGCCGTCATCACTTACAATTTGTCGCGCCGACTGTATTTATTTCCCGAGGAACAGGTATTGTTGACCAGCGCAAACCGCTTCTCAGACGCTGGTGGGGTACGGCCTCGTTTTAAGTTCAAGACATGAACTGTAGCTGTACCAGCAAGTACATGATTACGAGCCGGCTATTGCCTGCAAGTACAAGAGGCGTACACGTCGTTATTTGTAACAAGTCGATTCAGGCACTAAATGACATTTCGTCCGATGTTTGCTCGCTTAAGTTGGCTTGTAAAGCTATCAGACGAGTGAAACGACGTTTTTTGTCACTCAGCGTGTGAAATGAGTATGATAATCTCCGGTACATTTTAGCATTCTGAACCAAGGTACGGTCGTCATGGAAGGTACAATTTATTCGATCGCTGCTGCTTTATGCGCTGGCGATTGTTTCGAAATGTAGTGACCTAAGGGATCAGGAAGCGCTCGCGGAGCAAGTTTGAGCATTTATTGAGCTATTTTTGACCAGAAGGCCCGCACGCATAGGCGTGATTGAGCTCCGCAAGCATCGCGGCGAGCAACTTCTGATAAATAAAATTTCCAATTTCGATGTATCGGTCCACGTCGTTACGACTTCTACGACTAAGATTAGTTCATCGTGCTTGACCTGACTTACTTCCGACAAGTAGACAGTATCGTGACCTCTGTGGTGTTGTGTCATAGCCTTTTTTAACTTAAGGTATGGAAGAATGGGTGCACCTCACACTGAGGAAGCTTCAACTTTTCAAACACACGCTAGCTGACTGACAGAAATTCGAATTCTAGGTCCAACCCGGGGGGTGAAGTGATGAAGTGATCAGGTGATAAGTAACTAACAAATGGGTTTGCTAAGAAAATCGGCTGCTCCCGATATCTGGATCATTGAATATCCGCTTCGGGGATGTTAGGTCCGCTTCAGCAAAAAACTGCCCCGCCGCCGTTGCCGTTAATGACTTGGCGCACCTCTGGTATTTATCTTTCCGCGTTAAGGCGCATTAATCTTCCATTTGCAAGCGAGACCCAGCCATGTTAAAACTAGACACTTGGTTGGTGGCTATAAAATATATTATATACAAAAGCGAAGATGTTACCAGCAACACCTTGGCTAATAAGGTTCTATTTTGACGTTCACGTCGTGACTTGACTTCGCAAACAAATCATAAAATGACGCTCTTGTCCGACAATGGCTTCGGTAAATCTGCTTATTGAGCGGTCAGACGGGTGAAATGTCGTGACTTTGTTACCCAGTGTGTAAATTCAAAGCAAAACCATCTGCATTATTGGCAGCATTCATTCAGCTTTTATTAAGAGTACGGATCGATTCGACCGCTTCTGCTCCAGATGCAAGGTATAATCATGAGGAAGGTGACGTGTGAAATAAGAGGAGTGCTTCTGGGGTAGAGAATCGCACTCGTTTTGTTCTTTGCTTGAGCAGAGAACCTTTCATGAAAGGGCACCGCCTCGGGGGGAGCGAGATAAATCAGATGAATCGTAAACATCATCACGGCATGATCGTGTGGGCAAAAGTCGTTGCAATTCTGGCGCTTGTAGACGTGCAAGTTAGGTACCCTGGATCAGATTTCTCCATGGCGCGATGTCGCGACGTACAATCGTAAAACTTGAACCCTTAACATGTCGAACTGCGCTATTTTGCAGATGAATTATAACCAAGAGAAGGTATCTTTTTAGCTAACGGCTCTGTCGAGTCTGGAAGTGTCATAGCAGTACTCTTAAATCGCTTTAACTGACCTCATCGAGAACACGGCTGCCTATCCAATGATGGTCTAAAGAGCGTCAATCGCAAGCCAGGGTCTTTCTCTTATGCATTTGAGAATGTGAAAAGTAGATGCCTCCGTGCTTGGAAGAACTGCACTATAGGGTGCCAAGAATGGTATGAAGCTCTGAGTGCATAGTGATGGATGAGCATCTACGTTTTAGCAAATTCTTGAGTAGAAAAAATGAGTGCAAGTCTTAGTGTGACCAGTCTTGTGTAACGGAACGGTGTTACACGTACCCTTGTATAAGAAGGCGGGTCGCATAAGATGATGTGACCGTATATAGGTGTGGATAACACAATTTGTGTAATCACATAGTGATGTAAGCAGAAGCCACGACGTGGCACTTTTACCAGTAGTAGTGCATTTTACTATATTAATTAGGTTTTGATATATTGATTAGGTATTACTTTATTAAGTAGAAAAACCTAGAAGTTTTAGGTATTGGCGGTTCTGCCGCAACTAAAACAATAAAATTTCGAATACAAGAGATCATTTGCCTTGGTATGGTTTTGGGGTACTCTTGGAGGCAGCGCATTGCGATCCGCTACACTCGTACTGGTTCTTGTAAAGAACGTTAGGTTGGTGACCTTAGCATAGCTTCCTCTAAGCAAAGAGCTACGCTACAGTAACGGGACCAAACTATGCTATGATGCGTACACGATACATTTTTGTGTGATCGTGCTTACACTTTTATGCAGTAACACACGACTCAGATGTATCAAAGCGCTGGTACTATTGCGGAGAACGGGATTTTGTAGATTGAAGGTTCGTCGGATATGTAGGCTGTCGGCCTGGCGCAATGAAATACGTATAGTCTGATGATTTCGACCATATCTTTTTATAACGTACGTTTATATAAACTTATCTCTCATATATGTCACTCTAGATATCGAAGAGCAAGAAAGAAATCTAGAATTCTGACACGTACTTGGTCCCGCTAATGGGGGAGCGAAAAAAAATATGCTTAAGTTTACGCGAAAACAGCATGGCCACCCAGTGTCCTATCCCATCTGGCGAGCAAATAAAGCTTCCTCTTCGCGTACCCCTAGTGGCACACGGGACACAAAAGTCGTGCCTGTATTTGATGCGACTCACACAGCTTTCAAAAAGTCGGTATCTTGGATGCGGAAGGTCTCGAGGCAAACTGCACCAGTTTGCACGCCGTCCATGAAGATGATGACTATTACCGATTTTAAAGAGGAATCGCGGGGATACGATTCTGCGCCTCCTAAAGAAATTCTGCTGGTTCTTTCCTTCTTGATAGGAGGGCAAGAGCTTGAAACGCCTTGTGTACGCCTGAATAGTACCCGCGAAATAGGTCGCTTCCACACTTCCCGCTGATAGAACACCGCTTCTACAGAGGTAATTTACTTAAGTACCTATCCTCGCACGCAGCCTTCTCGCTCTAGATCTCGATGTTGCTTTGTCTCGAGAATGGTTAACTTGATAGCCACCTCAAATTATCTCATTGATAGAGTTTTTCCTACATACTCTCAAAGGGTTGACTACACAACGTAATCGCCCCACAATTAATGCCGGCTGTGAACAGCCTTAGAGTGCATGTGGAGGTACCACACCTTCGCATTCTCGAAGCCAGTTAGCATCTTCAGGCAAGTGATTAACGCTTCTTGTATCTTGGCCGCCAGTTGTCTGGCTCATTTGCCATCATTGATTGACATGAGCTTATCAAGCGTGTCTAACTAACCCAGTGACATAATCGCGCTTCATTCTCGCTGTTAACATAGTCGAATAAAACCTGGTTGTCGGATGGACAGCAGGCGCAAATAAGTGCAACAGGGTTGCCGTGTACCTTGCGCAGCGGAAGCTTTGACTCCACGTTAACAAATGCACGGGTGATGTTTTCGCTCCATAAGAAGCGAAATTGAGAGCCTCTGATGTAATGAACTTATTTTTAGCTTTGATTTTGCAGTGACATAAATGTATTTCTATCCAGACTAATACTTAATATGTACGCTGAACTATCACCCAGAATAAAGCCGCCTTGCTAATAGCGGATCAAATGTTCTACGGATCTTTTCTCAACGTAGTGCCATCATCTCCCTTAATACCGATACTTCCGTGCTTCTAATTATTCATGCTGCTGTATGCGATGCAATTGTGTGTAGTACACGATAGCACAGCACCTAATCAGTATCCAAGTATAATGTTAATGTACACAATACAAGTACGTACCCATTACGTTCCTTTTTGATTTTTGTCGACGTGCTAATTAGCTGAAATTTAAGTAAATAAAAATATAAGGATATGTGGCACACACGTTATCAAAAAGATTAACTGCAAGAAATCCCAATGACACGTGGCCTACACCTATTGTCGTTGCTGCTAGCAGCGGCGTGCCTTGTAGCGCTATCCACAGCTAACAAGGACTACTACGAGGTTCTAGGAATTTCCCGAGACGCTTCGACAGCCGAAACTAAGCGAGCTTTTCGCAAACTTTCGCTCAAAGTTGGTATCCTAATCGAAAGCTGGTGGAATGGAGTTGGAAATGTTAAACTTGATTTACTATAATTGTTACTCAGCACCACCCCGATAAAAACCCAGGAGACGAGAATGCAGCGAAAAAATTTGCGGAAGTTGCCAGCGGTAAGTCACATGAACTGTCAGGACTTGGTTTCTTACGTTAAAAACTTACTTTTCATCCATTGGACAGCGTATGATGTGCTTTCCGATGAAGAGAAGAAGGCAAAATATGATCGATACGGTGAAGAAGGCTTGAATAGCGCTGGTGGAGGCGGCGGTCATGATCCATTTGACATTTTCTCTCAGTTTTTTGGCGGAGGCGGCCGCAATCGTCGCGAACGAGAGCCATCACGCGGTCCAGATATAGTGATGCCATTGAGAGTATCCTTAGCCGATCTCTACAATGGCAAGAGTCTCCAATTTTCGATTCGTCGTGAGGTAGGCATATAATAAGCTTTGTAAGCCGCCGGTTGTCCTTGATAAACAAATATGTGTTATGACAGACCGTGTGCCATCATTGTCATGGAAAAGGTGCGGCTCATGAAGACGATGTTCACGTTTGCAACGAATGTCATGGTCATGGCGTGAAAATGACGACACGTCGCGTGGGTCCGGGATTTATTCAGCAGTTTCAAACAACTTGCGAAAAGTGCCACGGAAAGGGAAAAATTTACACGAGCACGTGTCCCGTGTGTGGTGGTCGGAAGGTCGAGATGACCGACCTCAACTTTGATGTGGACTTGGAAAAAGGCACGCCCGATGGCTTCGAAATCGAATTGGAAAATTATGCTGATGAAATCGAAGGACAACCAGCTGGGCATTTACGTCTGCAAGTCGTGACAGCAGCTCACCCAGTATTCACTCGTGATGGTGACGATTTGTGGATGGATTTCTACATTTCATTACGTGAGTCGCTTGTGGGATTTAAAAAGACTTTTGTGCACTTGGATGGACGTTTAGTGGAAGTGTCGCGCGACGACATTACGCCACCTCGATTGGTCACTAATATGCAGAATGAAGGTATGCCGAAACAGCATTCGTCATCCGAAAGGGGGCAGCTGTACATCAAGTATCACATAGTATTTCCAGATTCGCTCTCGGATGAGCAGAAGGAAGGCTTTCGTGAGTTTTTTTCTAAAAAGTAATGGATGTTCGAATATAGACACAGCGACTAACGTTTTTTCTACTGAAGTCATTGTTTTCTCGTTGGTTTTTGGCTACTTTGTGTTATATGGTGTGCTTCTGATTTCTCTGTCTGAGTTCGGCTCGTTTGTTGCTTACTTATCTAGAGAAGCCCTCGGTCATGAGCTTATCAGCAAAAATTCCTATTGCTATCAAGACTCAATTGCATTAAGAATGACAATAAAGTTGCGGTTACGTGAGAAATGGAACGTCTCAGATCACCCCCTCAACAAATTCCTCGAACTAACAATGTTGCCATCATACACAACAGGCTTACATGCTTGGCCTTTACAACAATAGACCAGACAGATTATAAATAAGTACCCAGCACTACACCAAAAATTCTGGAACACAGTGATTGCATGTATAGCAAGCGTCGAGATGATTGGCAACAAATTATGTATGGGCAAATCATCAATACTGAAATGTTTAAGGTCAATTCTTTGTTGAAGTCGCAAAGTAACTAAACCGTCTGCTTTTGTTGGGTACAATTCTCCATGTAAGATTTAGTATAACAAACTGTATTTCCACCATTTTTATGGAGATTGCACAATTTATTTTCTCAAAACTTAAGACTTAAATGTGAGCATTTACTTCCGATATTTCTGGAAACACACTGAGAGTTATAAGATAACTCTCAGTGTGTTTCCAGAAATATCGAGATATCGAATCAAAAATTTCCTTGATGTACGCGACGCAAATCATATTCTGCTTGAATCTCTTCCGCCGACTTGCCAGATGTCTCTGGCACCATTTTCAATCCCAGTAAGAAGAAAATGGACAGTAGCACCACAAATGGAACATACGCATAGTCATTCAACGCATCGGAAATGTAAGGATAAGACACACCCACGATGAGGTTGCATAGCCAATTAATGCCGATACAGAGTGAAGAGGCGCTAGCACGGATCGAATCTGGAAATATATCGGCCGTCATTACCCATACGAGAGGACCCAATGTCACACCAAAAGCAATTACATATAGAGCTGTAAATACTATTGATAGAGCAGAGACGTCTAGCAAGAATGCCAGTGTCATACCGACGGACGTGATCACCATACCCGCAAGACCCCCAAGGATCATATTGCGAGCGCCGAAGCGATTCGCAAGAATACCCGTAAACAAAGCTGGCCATATGTTAATAAAGTCAATTATCAGTGTGCCAACGCGCGAATCCTTGATGCCTGCATCCGAGAAAATACTGCCTGAGTAGTAAAACACGGCGTTTATTCCGGATAGCTGCTGGGAGCATGACAACAAAATACCGGTAAGAAGCTGCATGCGGTAACGAGGGGCAAACATGGACTCTTTTTTAAAAGCACTCAATCCTTCTTCAGAGCGTTCAGGTTTCGCAGTCACTTCAAGCCACGATAAGGCTAATTGCACGTGCTCTTCTCCGTAGAGTAAAGCCAGGACCGTCTTCGCCTCTTTCTTTCGTCCTTGATTGAGAAGCCACGCTGGGCTTTCAATGCACAAACTCGGTGCTAATAACAGGTAGATACCGGCCAAAACGACAGGAAACGCTGCCAGGTAACGCCAACCCATGCTCGTATTTAAAAAGAAAAAGCAGATAGCTGGCATCAGGATACCAAAAGTCGTAAAAATTTGAAGGCCCAGACCCAGCGTGTTGCGCATGTGCGGCGGTGACAGCTCATTGATGTAACCACCAATAGTAGCTGTGGCTGTACCAGACGCAATTCCAGCGACAAAGCGTCCGAGAGCGAAAAGCCAAATATTGGACACGGATGCCTGCACAACACCGC